GACCGTTATTGGCGGATCATGATCCCAACGACTCAAATAGCTCTCGTCTTGTCTTGCCCCGTGCGGACGATTCAGTTTGCTGTTAAACTTTTTTCGCAGAGCCTTTTTTGCGCACAATGAAGAGGCGTGCTTCGTTTGTGGTGTGATTCTCCATCCTTCCTTACTTACACCCCACCTCTCCCACACACACACACACACACACACACACACACACACACACGCGCGCGCGCACGCTCACATTGCGATGTCCCGTTACGTCTGAGGGATGGCCGTTTCTCTCCAAGAGAACAATCGCCCCCAGTAGATGCGATAATGCTCCGTGTGCAGTGCAAGACATGCCTGCCGCCCTCGCCCACTACTTCGCCTTTGCCCCTGTTTGGCTGGGCCAGAGACAATAACAGAACCAGCACCCAAGTTCTCCCTGCGATAGGTATATACCCGACACCGCTGCCCTTAGTTGTTTGGCGGCCCCGCTCCCTCAGCCCCTGCGAGGTGCGGGCAGGCACGCAGCTCGTCACGGCTGTTCGGCGGGCTTGCCCGCCTCAGCCCCTGGCGGGTAGGCAACCGGACCGCACGGCTGCTCGGCGGGTCCGCCTACCTCAGTGTCCGCAGGCGCTGGGTCCCCGCGCCGCCCAACGCGTCGTCTCCCTTGATCCGTTCTACGCCGTATTCGGTAATGCGGAAGGCTGCTCTAGGTACCCCGGCCGCTGCGCCACTTTCGTGCCGGCCGTGCCGTACGGGACCGGAGCGCACGGCGCCACGAGGACCGTTTGGCGACAGCGCGAGCGCCGCCGCGGCGGGGCCCGCGAGCCGCTGCTTCACTTGTTCGCCCTGTTTTTCTTTCAGTTTTTGTTGTTAGTGTAGGTTACGTGCCGTGATACATACATCCGCCGCGGCGGCGAGGGAAGGCCTCGCCAGGGCGCGGGGAGGGGGGAGTCTATTGACTCTGGGACTGCCGCAACGTCCGGTCCCTATTTAGGGTTCACCGAAAGGAAAGAGTGTAGGCATTACCGCATGAACAGACAAATGAGCTTACGCTGTTCCTGTGTGGGATCATCCTTTCGGGCGCCCGCCAACGGAATTTCTCTCCGCGGCTTGCTCTCGCGCGCGCGACTCTGACGGCTGCTTCTGCTGGGCCTCATTAATTTAAACGGCCACGGCGCCACGGCCCGTGCGCAGCCAGCCCGGCTGCAGCGGCGTGCAGAACTGCAGCGATCCGCAACAGCTTTACGTGATTTGAAAGTTAACAGTGCCTACAACTCTGCTCATTGTGCAGAGTGTTTCATGCTGTGTGCGTGTGTGTGTGGCTCCCGTGGCCCGCGTCCTGTTGCAGCGGGCGACGCGACGGCGCGCTTGCTGCTACGGGTCCCCCTGCGGGTCCCTCCTCCTGGTCCCTCTGGGTCCCCGTAGGTCCCGCCGGGTGCCGCCGTGCTCTTCCGCGTTTGCCGTCCGCCTGCTGCAGCTCCCTAATGAGGGATGCAAGGGGGGAGCGCAAGGCGCGTCTGCTGCTGCTTCCAACCGAATTAGAAAGCACTTTGAAAAAGCTACGTCGAGGGACGTATCGTGAAAGCAGATGATACAAATTTAAGGATATGTCTGTGCCCTAATTTTCTCTCATATTTTGCTGTTATTTGTTTATGGCTGTTTGTCACTTTTAGCAATTGCTTTCTTGCAATTCAACGGACTAGCGGCATGGCATAGAGGAAGAGATAGGATAGGGGGCAGCAGGCAGCAGGCAGGCCGGGCGGCATCCGTGGCTCAGTATTGTTGGGTATTGTTGGTGGGAACGGGCGGCGCCGGCGACTTCTCGCGCCCCTTATACATCTGGGTGACGTCATGCGCTTTGGTTCTCTGCCCTTCTCGAGAGTACAAGCTGCTGACACCTTAAAGTTTTATATATATATGTTTCATGTTTAGTCTAAAGCTATTTAAGGTATCATCTGCTAAAAAAAAAGGAAGGAAATTTTTGCTTCCTCGTTAAATGATTCATATGAATCGCATAACTGCAGCACTGGAAAAACAAAGGTGCTAACTCCTACCTTTACAAGGCACTAAAACTACCAAAGGCACTAAACAGAAAAGGCGTGACTTAGCACCTTTGTTTTACCAGTGAAGAAGTTGTGTTTTGCTTTGTGTTGTTTGGGTGACGACCCCCTCACTCGCGAGTGTGTAGTGATCGACTATCTGATTATCTGATCTCATTGCCCTTGGCCGAGCGGTGTGGAGTGTCACGGTGTGTCCACCTCTGGTTTCCTTCCGAAGGACCTCGCGCCGTGTTGCGATTGTGCACCTGTGGCTCCGAAGCCCCGGCGGCGCGTCGCTGCACCATCCTGTTTGCGGGGCCGAGGGTGGGCCAAGGCTGCATGCATCCACTCTGAATGGAAACCAACAGTTTTATGTCCCCGAAAAATTTGCGTAGGAATTTAGGGGAGGGGGAGAGACCTGTCCCATCTCATTGCCAGTGTACCCACCTACCTGCTACCCGGGATTTGGCAGTTCTCCTTTAATCAGACTATTTTGAGAACATTTTTTGATCCAAAAATTTTAGGTGGTAGACCATGACCCTTACGACATTAAAAGGTTACTCTTGAACACCGCTCCCACACGCTCACAAGACCTCTCGACCAGCATTTTTCTTTCCCCCAAAAGAACGACTGAAACTGAAAGTCGGTCCTCGTTAAAGATAACGCACACGTTGTATCGCATGAAACTTGTTTCCAGTCCGTGTCTGTACTTGTGGCCCGGGCCAGCCGCCCCGCGGTGAAAGCCACTCCTCCACGGCACGGTCGGGGCGCAGGCCCGGGCCGGGGGACCGCGAGAGCCACGGAGGTGGGGCGGGGTGGGGCGAGGCGGCGGGAGGCGAGCGCGTTTTGCCTATTTCGCCGCCAAACTGAGGCGATGATGAAGAGAAAACTGGGAGATTGTAAACTGGACTGTTCTTGCCGTCTTTTCTCTGCATGAAAATAACAGTTCTATTTCTAGAAGATTATTTTGGCCCTGTCGGTGTTAATTATCAAATAGCTCATTTTTTCGTGTTGATTTGTATCGTTTAGCTTGCACTTATGTTCGTTTAAAGTCTAGATGTATCCTCTAAACAGTTGCCTTGTGTTCTTGTTGCAGGTCTGGCGCGCGGCTGGGGCTCGCTGCAGGGCCGCGCGGACAAGCTGCTCCGGAGGGACATGGACGCGCTGCGGGACGAGCTGCTGCGGGTGCGCGGCGCGGCCCTGGGCGCCGAGCTGGGCGACATGGACCAGCTGGACGAGCGCATCAGCGCGGCCAAGGTGAGTCCCGGCGGTACTACCCCCGCTCCCGAGGCTGCCCTCTGGAGATACTCCCGGGCAGCCTGTGGAGTTATACTCCGCGCTGGTGGGGAAGCTCAGACTGACCCGGAGATACGCCGCGCTAAGAGAAGGGGAGCCCTGCAGTGGCGCCGCAGATACCCCACGACGCGCGGCGGGCACTCCTGTGGGCCCTGCGGCTCTCTGGCCGCCAAGCTCTACCCCGGCACCCGTGCGCACCCGCAGCCCCACTCCCCATCGGTCTCCTCTTCATCTCTACTTCGCACGAGTTGCCGATTTACTATTCAAATTCTCCCCCAAAAAATGTTTCTCGTCAAAGTTCACAGCTGAGAAGTGTTTGTGTACTCTAGGGACCAAAATTAATGTGCGACTAGAAATGATTGCGTTCCAAGTATTTAGTGTCAGTGACTGCACTCTCCTCATACAAATCGAGTCTTGTTCACAGAGATCAAATCTCTGCGATAAACTCGAGTTATCGAGCAACAACTGACTTTGGCAATATGAATGTGGCTTTTCTCTGATCAGTGTTGTTCAAGAGCCCGCGGGTGTGTGCCACCGTGTTCGAGCGGGGCGTGCCAAGCAGCCAGCCAGGCATCGGGTAGTCTCAATCTGTCTCGACTGTCGGCCGGCCCGACGAGTCCAGCACGGCACGGCCCCTTCACACTCCTGGACGACTTGTCTCGCACAGCGGCTGCTGGAGGCAATCTACTCATTCCTTATCTATCGGTTCCTCCCTTATCCTTCACTTCCGCATTCACTTCCTCCCCCTCGCCCCTCCCTCCGCGAGTAAAAGCGTAGTCATGTCTGGTGGGGGGGAGCCGCGGCGTGGCGGGGCGTGGCGCGGCGCGGCGCGGCGCGGGGGTGGCGGGGAGGGGAGGTCCGTACGTGCCTGGAATAAGGGAATTTGACGTAGGATATTTTAGCCGCATAAAGTCGAGCGGGAGGGAAAGGCAGCGCGGCCGGCGGCGGCGGCAGCGGCAGTGGCAGCGGGAGAAGGGCCTGGCACAGACAGAAAAATCCGTAAAAAACATTTCTCCATATTCTCGCGGAGAGCTTGGCTGCGGACTGGTGCGGGGCGTTGGTTGGTCGGGGCGTGGCGGGGCGTGGCGGGGCGGGGCGGGCGCGTACCCTTTGTATATCAGCCATTGTTCCGTCATTAGCTGCACCAGTGGCACCCTTGGTGGCACCCGCCCCTCAACCCTCTCTCTCTGTGCTCGCTCCCCTCGCGCCCTATTAGGGCCAGTGACGTCACGTGATCGCCAATAACTGGCCACAAATGCTTGTAATGTCGCATGCACAATTACACGTCCTGGCCGGCACCGCACCGATCCCTCAATCCTGGCCGTGGAGCGCTGCGGAGCGCTCCTCTATGAGGCCTAATGCTTCATCACTATGGGATTAATATCTCATCAGTGAGCGTTGTCGTGGCGCTGTGCGGAATGTAGTGGCGGGGGGCGTGGTGCGGCGGGGCGCGGCGGCGCGGGATAGAAAGAGGATAGAGGTCCGGCAGGATTGCAGCAGCCGGGGTCCACTTGGCTGTAAATCTTCAGTAGATGGACATTGATGCCGCCCCACACGGAGGGAGCGGCGGGGCGGGGGAGTGGTGGCCCTGCCCGGCCCGGCCCGGCCGAGGGCTCGAGGCTTTCAGCGAGACTTTCAGCGGGCCTCAGCCGCTGTCCGTCCGGCTTTGGGCCCCAGTATATGCGCGCCTCGCAGACACTCAGCCCCCGCCTTATGGGGACAATCTGCGGAGTGCGGCGCTGCGGCCGGCGCTGGAGCACTGCGGAGTGCGGGGTTGTTTTACTGACGGAGGACAAGGCCGGGCGGCGGCGCCTGAGGGACTGGATGCGTCCTGGACAACTGTCCTGGAGGCGCCCGGCGCCCTGGAGTTACTCGCCACCTCGTCCCCTTCACCCTGTATAAATTATCCACTGTTATGGGCCGGGCGGCCGCCGCGCCTCGCGAGGGCCGCTGCCGGGCTGGGGGCGGGCGGCGGCCCTCGCGACCTCCAGGGCCGCGCGGACGTCCCCCGGGACCGGCGGGCAAGTGACCTCCGGTCAAATAGGGCCTCCCTCCCAGGCCCGCGCCCTCCCGCGCCCGGGGCGCAGAGCTAAGCGCACGCAAAAATTCCATCTGAATAGAAGGCTGGGGAAGGAAGACGAGAGGGTGTGTAGTGTGTGGTGGGAGTATACGGAAAGGGGGAGAGGGGTTGAGCAAGCCGGAAGCAGAAGAGGAAGAAATACACGGATTGAACTCTGGCTAAGACGCCTAGTGCTATTGATTCACTCCGCCCACTTTCGGTGGTTAGATATTTTAAAGTGTGAAAATTTTCGGGAAAGATTAGAAACTTTTCTTCAAGAAATTGAAAGAAAATAAATATCCCCAGACAAATTTTTTAAAAAATGTAATTTTTCTAAAATTCTTTACCGAAATATTAAAATCTCTTACATTGACTTCGCGTATGCGTCAGCCGAACCATGATGAGCCGTCAAGGAGTCAAGCGTGTCGTACCGTACAACTGCGAATGTCGGATGCGGGAATGTAAGTCACCCTTACTTAGCCGCTGATCTTTTTGTTTGTGAAAACAGTTAGTTTAGTTTGGTCTCCGCCACAGCCGGAGGTGAACAGGGCGGCCGTGCGCAGGTCGTGCTGCGCTCGAAGTGCGTGAGGAGCACTAGGAGGGCCTCGCGGCCAGCAAACAGAATACTCTGCTGCTCTACCCTCGGCGCCGCCCCCCTATGCCGTACCCACCGCCCCACCTCCCCCTCGAGCGCAGCCGGAATTTCACTCGTAGCCGCCGGGATGTGGGTCTGTGGGGACCTTTTTGACCCGGTGGTGGTCCGGCACTGGTCACGTGGTGGCTGCTCCGTGTGCTGCACCCCCTGCGCCCTTCCCATCCCGATAGCCTCGC